TGCCGGAATGTACGCTCATCAGACACCAGCAAAAGGTGTTAGTTCATCTAGACAGCAGGACGGTGGCCATGGAAGTCGGAATCCGCTAAGGAGTGTGTAACAACTCACCTGCCGAATGAACTAGCCCTGAAATGGATGGCGCTTAAGCGTACTACCCATACCTCACCGTCTGGGTTATGTATAATTGAGAAGCTCAGACGAGTAGGCGGGCGTGGAGGTTTGTGACGAAGCCTTGGGCGTGAGCCTGGGTCGAACAGCCTCTAGTGCAGATCTTGTGGAAGTAGCAATATTCAAATGAGAACTTTGAAGACTGAAGTGGGGAAAGGTCCATGGGAACAGCAGTGGCCATGGGTTAGTCGATCCTAAGAGATAGGGAAGCTCCGTATGAAAGTTGCACGATTTTCGTGCCTCCTATCGAAGGGAATCCGGTTAATATTCCGGAACCAGAAGGTGAATCAACACGGCAACGTAATGAAGTTGGAGACGTCGGCAGGAGCCCTGGGAAGAGTTCTCTTTTCTTTTAACAACCACGAACTTACCCTGAATCGGTTTATCCGGAGCTAGGGTATGGTGTTGGAAGAGTTCAGCGCCTCATGCTGGATCCGGTGCGCTCTTGACGACCCTTGAAAATCCAACGAAGAATGGGGGTTTCGGCTCCTCTTGTTTTCACATCTGGTCGTACTCATAACGCAGCAGGTCTCCAAGGTGAACAGCCTCTAGTGATAGAACAATGTAGATAAGGGAAGTCGGCAAATGGATCCGTAACTTCGGGATAAGGATTGGCTCTAAGGTTGGGTACGTTGGGCCTTGAAACTGAACAGTTGCTGGTCCGGATTCGGCGGACTGGATGTTTTGCCTTTCGGGTAGAGACGTCTGGACTGCTGGCTGGACCTTGGCGGCTGGATTTTCCTTGGTAAGGCTGCTCTCTTCCACGGGGTATGCCCTTACTGGCGTACAATTAACACCAACTTAGAACTGGTACGGACAAGGGAATCTGACTGTCTATTAAACATAGCATTGCCTTGCCTATTTGCGTGTCTCAGATTTCTGCCCAGTGCTCTGAATGTCAAAGTGAAGAATTCAACCAGCGCGGGTAAACGGCGGAGTAACTATGACTCTCTTAAGGTAGCCAAATGCTCGTCATCTAACTAGTGACGCGCATGAATGGATTAACGAGATTCCACTGTCCCTATCTACTATCTAGCGAAACCACAGCCAGGGAACGGGCCTGGAAAAATCAGCGGGAAAGAAGACCCTGTTGAGCTTGACTCTAGTTGACATTGTGAAGAGACATAGAGGTGTAGGATAAGTGGGAGTGTAGGGACTCTCTGCACGCCGGTGAATACCACTACCTTTATCGTTTCTTTACTTAATCAATGAAGCGGAATTGGGATTAGTTCCACATTCTAGCCTTAAGGTCCTTTGCGAACTGATCCGCGTTGATGACATGTCAGGTGGGGAGTTTGGCTGGGCGGCACATCTGTTAAAAGATAACGCAGGTGTCCTAAGGGGGGCTCATCGAGAACAGAATCTCGAGTAGAATAAAAGGGTAAAGCCCCTTGATTTGATTTTCAGTGTGAATACAAACCATGAAGTGTGGCCTATCGATCCTTTGTTGCCTCGAAATTTGAGGACAGAGGTGCCAGAAAAGTTACACAGGATAACTGGCTTGTGGCAGCCAAGCGTTCATAGCGACGTTGCTTTTGATTCTTCGATGTCGGCTCTTCCTATCATACCGAGCAGAATTCGGTAAGCGTTGGATTGTTCACCCATAATAGGGAACGTGAGCTGGTTTAGACCGTCGTGAGACAGGTAGTTTACCTACTGATGAAGTGTCGTCGCAATGGTAATTCAACTTAGTACGAGAGGAACCGTTGATTCAGATCATTGGATTTGCGGCTGCCTGACAAGGCAATGCCGCGGAGCTATCATCTGCTGGATAAGGCTGAACGCCTCTAAGCCCGAATCCATGCCAGAAAGCGACGATTTGTTGGTCCGCATAATTAATGTGTATACAAATAGAGTTTTTAAACTCCTGCATCATAGAAGATGGGCGTCGGTTGATAAGACGGAAGTTGTCTTGTTGACTTGTCCATGAAATTCCATTGAAAACTTGTGCGGAGTCGAATCCATTGCATACGACTTTAATGTGGAACGGGGTATTGTAAGCAGTAGAGTAGCCTTGTTGTTACGATCTGCTGAGATTAAGCCTTTGTTCCCAAGATTTGTTCCATAAGGAACACATCATCCTCTTTATTTTATTTTATCTCTTATTTTTCTTTAATGACTTGCTATTTTCAAAGTGGTGTTGGAGGTATATATATAGTTATAGTTAGTAGAATAGAAGAAGGAAGGAAGGAAGAAAGAAGAAGAAGAGAAGAGGGAAGAAAGAAGAAGAAGAAGGGGAGAAGAAGAAGAAGAAAGAAAAGTTGGCGGTGTTGCGGTTCGCCGTGCGCGCGCGCGGCTTGCGGTGAGAAGAAAATAGATAGAAATTTTTTGAAAAAGGACTTGGATTCGAGCGCTTTTTTGATTTTCCTGACCCAGGGAGTAAGGGTAATGCACATTTCGTTTCAGTTGGTGGTAGTAGTAGGAGTATCAGTTGGTGGTAGTAGTAATAGTAGGAGTAGTCGTAATCGTAGTTGTAGTTGTAAGTCAGCCAACCCTCTTGTCATACATAGTTCCTCTTGTCATACATAACCCTCTTGTCATACATAGCCCAAGCAGTTGAGTTTGCAAAACGCAAAACGCAAAACGGGGAAATCAACCCTAACCTAAGGAGGTAGAATTTTGAGTCTTGAGTCTTGTAACTTGACCTAGCAGCAGAGGAGGTAGTAGCTAGTTAGGGTTTGATTCTAAAATTCGACAAGATAGGATCGACAAGATAGGATAGAATAAAAATAAAATAGAAATAGAAATAAAAATACAAGAGACAAGTGTTAACGCGCCGGAACGCACTGTTGTAGAAAAATAGCCAGACATCATGTATGAATTCGTAAATACCGTTTCACAAATACAAGAGACTGTTGGTAAATGGATACAAGGACACCGAAATGAGGATAGAGAGAAGAAAAGATGCATTATTATTTATATTATAATTATAGCTATGAATATCATAATAAATGACAAAAATAAAAGATAAAATTAAATAAAATAAAAATATAGAATTAGAAAAAATAAAGATAAATTAAATAAAATAAAAATATAGTTGGATGCAAGCAAAAAAAATTTTTGGATGCAAGCAAGACAAAAATGGGTGATGACGGACGAATACTTGGGTGATGACGGACGAAGGTAGATAAGAATGCAACAAACGTAGGTAGAACGTAGGTAGATAAGATAAGATATGATGGCAAACAGCAGGGCTTGTTTTATTATAAGAAACTTGAATCAAACTCGATTCTTCTATATGCTATATGCTAATATTTTAACTAGGAATGAATATACTAGATAAATAAATAAATAAATAAAAACAAAAAATGCTTGCTTTGACAATATCCTTCCACTATGAAGCCAAGGTTCCAATTAGTAACCCTTTTCTTTTCAAGTCTCATCTGGGTTTCAATCCAATGGTTACATTAGGTGGTTTTTTGGGGGTTTGGTGATGGTGATGGTCAGGGTTGAGCTTTCAGATCCAAAGGAAAGGAAAGGACATTGGGTAATGCCGTATGGGTTACAAAAAGGGTAATGCCGTATACAAAAAGAGTGTGTAAATGGGTTTGGTTATATTTGTTGGGATTTTGCATCTGAAGAGTAAGAAAAGGGAGAAAACTAAGAAAGGAGAAACAAACAAGGAATGGAAATGGAAAGAAAGAGACCGTTTTAAAAAACCAAAGAGGAATGGATAAATCAGGCAAGCATGTTGGGAAAGAGTAGCAAAACAAAAAAAAAAAAAAAAAGAAAAGAGGATGGGGACGTGGTCGTGATATATATACGGAAACGGAAAGAGGATTACAAAAGACAAAGAGAAAACATGAAAATTTTCCAAGGAACAAGGTAACGGATAAAACATGAAATTTTCCAAGGAACAAGGTAACGGATAGGTCGGGAAATTAGGAACAAAGTAGCGGAAAAAAGAAACCCCGAGGAAAGCAAGTAACGGAAAAGAAAAAGCAAACATACGTGGCTGGCAAGTAACGGAAAAAGAAAAAGTGCAAAACACAACAAACGAAAAAAAAAAGAGACTAGACGAAAAAAAAAAGAGACAAAAAAAAGGGCAGGAAAAATGTGAAATCAAAGAAAAACAAAACAATCAAAGAAAAACAAATCACGTAGATAGAATGACCTGAAAAGGTGGTGTATGCAAAGGAGGGATTTCCAACGATATAGTAGAATCTTGAGGGTTAAAACAAAACAATAAAAAAAATAAAATTTTCAATAATCTTGGAGTCTCAAAGCGCCTGGATAGAAAACACAGCAAACAATGTGTCCTCAAAAGGGGGAAGGAGTAGGCACATGAGGGAGTGTGAAAAAAAGGGGAAAATGAAGGTAAAACAAAAAATAATATAATTAATTAAAAGAAAGATTTGATATGTGTAGGGTGGAAATCGAGAAATGGAGGGTCGGGAGGGAGTTGGTCAAGGTAGTAGCTAGTGACTAGCAAGATGAAAAAGGGGATAAAAAGTACAAAATAAAAGAGAAAAGGCAAAGAAAAGAAGGTGGAAGTGAAAAGAAGCGGGGAGAGGGGGCGAAATGGGTGGATTTGAGGGGGATGTTTGGGTAGGGGACAACAAACAAAGGGGGGAGGGAAGAGAGAAAAGAAGGGGAGGGAAGAGAGAAAAGAAGGGAAACAACAAGAAAAAATGAGAAATTGAAAGAAAAATGAGAAAAAAAAAAAAAAAATTAGAAAAATAAAACAAGTTGCAAACGATGGCAAAAAAGGTGGGTAAAAATCGGAAAACCACCCAAGACGGCCGGTAAACAAAGGGAGACAAATGGACAAAAGCAAGAAAAGAAAAGGAAAGCAAAACGATAAACAAACCAAGTTGCGAGGAAGCGGTAAA